AGTTAAATATAATATCCAGGTTCACTTACCTTTCTTTCTACTAGAAACTAATACTGGCAACTCTGCTTTATATATTAATTCGGATGACCAATTCGGATGACTCGTACTTCTTTTTTTCGTTGGATTTATAATTGTTTATTTTACAATAACTTAAATTCTTTTTCTAATAACTCTTGCATCACTTTACTTTATGTTGCTTGTATATATATAAAAAGAAACAGAGAAAAGACGGAACGTCTGGTCAATCTTTTAAAATTAGTTATTACGTCTGCACTTGATGAGCGGCAGCGGGCTACTCACTAAAACGCCGCGCAAAGAGATGCACCTTGCACGAAGTTTTGTTTAAAACTTCTTCGTCTTACTTGCTATGGGGCCGGTACTTGCTGACTTCATGTGTTTAAGCTTCATGGCTCGCTTCGGTTGTCACTTGACACTTCCAAGAGCCACGAAGTACACAGTCAGCTTTGTTAGGCGACGACTCTCATTGAGTATGACTCTGTAAAGAGTCTTAAAATTTTATCATTGGGAATGAAATATAACAGGATAAAATAGAATAAAAATAAAAATGTATTCATTTACGCAAGTCGTCACCTAACAGTTTGATTGAATTCAAATTATCCCACGTATGGTTAGATTAACCATGGCAGACTTACCTAGTATTCGCGTTCAACATGCTCCTCCTTTTCAAAAGACCGGAGTTAACTACGTGGGTCCTTTCCCCGTCAGACTGTCTCAAACAAGATGAAGGGGTAACTCTAAAGGTTACGTAGTTATGTTTACATTTATGAGCACTACAGCTGTCCATTTGGAAAAAGTAGAGGACTATAGTACCGAGAGTTTCATTGCCACCTTTTAACGGTTAACGGTTCGACGGGGTCACTGCTCTGTCTTATTTATTGATATGTAATCTAATTTTGTTGGGGCAGGTTCTGAATTTCGTCGACGGTGAACTGAACTTTGAAAGTCTCCTTTAAGGCTGAAAGGATACTAAATTTAAAGACACATTGGCACTTTAATTCTCCTGCTGCTTCTCACTCTGGTGGAGTTTGGGAAATTGTAGTAAAGTCAGTAAAGTACCATCTTAAATAAGTCGTAGGTGCTCAAGTCCTCAGCTTTGTAGAATACTCTACTTTGCTTTGTCAAGTGGAGGTTTGTCTGAACTCTCGACTAATATCTCCGATTAGTGAGGACCCATCAGACCTCAATCTGTTGAGTCCAGCCCATCTAATTAACTTAAAACCTGTTTTCATCTTACCAGAAAGTAATTACTCAGAGACTAAAACTCCCTTAATACAGCGCTAGAAGCTTATTTTTTAATTGGTTTCAAGTTTTTGGCGTCAGTGGTTGCAGGAGTTCTTGACTACTTTACAAAAACAATTTAAGTAGAGTAAACCTCAAAGCTCTATTCAAGTGGATAATCTTGTTATCGTTAGGTCTGAAAACTCTCCACCTAACTTTTGGCCTCTAGCTAGTGTTGTTAGGATAATGCCTAGTAAAGATTCTAAAGTTCGAATAGTTCAAGTTTGTTATACTAATATAGTTTTGTCAAGACCAATTGCTAACTTAATATTGTTACGCACGAACCAAGAGTTAGAAGAAGGTCCATAGAATATCCTTTTTTTATCCCATATTTTTTCCTATTATTAGGTTTATAATTTCTTCCTCCCACTATTCTTCAAAACTTATTCTATTGCTCCACCCTTCGTTGGAGCAAGGGTGGAGAAAAATTTTCAGAGTTTATGATTTTTCAGCTTGATTGAATTTAAATTATCCCTTGGTTGGTTAGTTACGAGTGGTTATGAGCCAATCCCAAAGTGACTCATTGTATTTCGACACCCAATCACGCTTTTGCAATATAAAGTTAGCAGCGGCTCAGTGCGAGAGAGCGTTGCCCGTAGGCAGTCCCTGCCCGATCGTTGAGCTCTTAGCACTAGTATTCGGCGTAGTGATAGATACAAGTGTTGTAAGTATCTAGCTCTACTTGTCGAGCAACTTTATCTACCTAGAATTGTACACTCGTAACGCATACTAATTGTTGTTATAACTTGTAAGTTTGTAATAGTTGATTTGAAATTTGAAGGGCTCTATTCCTCACGAATCCTTCAGGTTCAGACCTTTATTAAATACAAGTTGATGTAAACTTTTTTTCAATTTGATCACATAATAATTCTAAATAACTTTTTAAGAACGTACATCAATTCGCGTTTTTATTCTAGAAAATTAAATATAACTATGTATTACCCTTAAATTTTTACTTTGCAAAAATGATGTGTTAATCATGGTAATGACTAAATAAGGTACCTCCGAATAAGCTATAATAGTTCTAGAAAGCTATTATTGTAAATTTGCTGCATTAGCAGACAAATGTTTCTTACTAGATGAAATTTATCGTTGTTGAACTACCAATGATTATATTAGGCTTATTTAATCTTGATAAAGTTAAAAACTAGTGCCAGTTTCTTGGTACAAAGCTTCTTAGTTTTATTTGTTCATTGATTTTATTATAAATTTCATTTATTTAAAATATGTCTTTCTTTTACGCCAGTTATAAAAGTTTCTATTTTTCTGTATTGTATCTATAATTTTTTGAACATGCGTACCAATTTTTTTTTTTTTTTNAGGCAATCAAAGTGCAAGGGTATATATATATATGCTTAGAAACGGTGATTTATGCAGACTCTACGTGTTTTAAAGATATATGTTAATAACACGTTAGAGTTATGCAGACGTCTGCATGATGCTTAATTTATCTTCTTAATTATCCCCCCCCCCCATGCATATAATTGTTCGCAGAAGTCATCTTTAATAAGCATATAATATTTTATCTAAATATCATATAATATTATCAACGGGTAGGTATGAGTGAGAGTAACTGAATTTATGGACCTTCACCATCAATCACGAGTTTAGCCTTGGCAACTCATTGTGCAGTTAAGACTACGAGTTCTGTTAAAAAACTGTCACGTACAATTCAACTGCACAAGGAATAACAGTATATTGTACAGCTTTTTTAAAATTAAAGTAATGCACAACTAATTGGTATAGTAACTTTTTTTTGATAGATGGATACAGAGTACCGTTATCATTTTTCTTCATTACATACAAAGTTGTCGAAATTTTTGTGGAAATTGCAGGAGCAACCTGACGAAATCTGAAATATGATACATTATATACTGTTTTGTTTTAAATTAAATTTAGTAATACGTTTTATTTTTATCTTTTGATATTCTATAGAAATTTTTTGCGGGTTTGGTATTAATCCCCCTATCACTTCCGATACCACCTAATAACCCCATTAAAACAAAGCGAAATTAATTCAATTTCTTTTATGTTTTAATTAGGTTCAATTTTTAACCCACACAATCTCCCCTTGATTCTCTAATCTTCCCACGTGCCCCCACAAAATAACAGAAAAATCATTAAATTTTTTCTTTTTACATGGTGACTCTAGCTTCGCACCAACATTCAAGCACTTCATCTTATTCACAAGGTGTCCGCAACGTTACAAGTCTCTTTCTCATAAGTGCACAGAAGTAGCTTCACTCCATACCTAAGCGTGACTAATCTTATTATCAATGCCACAGCTAAGGTGTCTTAGAGAGAAAGCACGTCACGAGCATTACTGATGAGTCCAGGCATGCTCTGGGGTTGAAACATTCTTTTCTCATTAATGTAGGGATCGTGTTGTCTACAAGAATGAGAAAAGAATTTTTCGTCTCGAGAGCATGCCTGGACTCATTAGTAAGGCTGGTGACGTGCTTTATGCCTTAGATACCTTAGCTGTGGCATCGATGATAAGATTGGTCACGCTTATGTCATGAGTAGAGTTGTTTCTGTGCTCTTGCAGGAAAAAGACTTGTAAGGTCGAGAACATCTTGCGGATCAGACAGAGTGCTTGGATGTTGGTGCAAAGCTAGGGTCACCACATATAAATTCAAGTTCAAATGTCGTAATATTCCCTACTACCCCCACCAATCGTTTATCACGATCTAATTCCTGCACACGAACCGACAAACCCTCTTTAATTTTTTGGATTATTGTCTATGAACACCTACCCATATCCTTTCCTAAATGAAAAAAAAGTTTGTTTTATTTCTTGCTTACTTCGATTAAATTCGATTTTCTACTATCCTCTCCCCTCGTCCTCCTCTCCCAATAATACTTACAGTATCTTTCACAAACTTTGTTACATACTTGTATACCATAGAAATTTATTAAAATAAATTCTATCTTTTTTATACATGTTTGTCGCAACTGCTTTGTTTTATTAAATTAAATTTTTTTTAAATTATTGTTACTTTTATACATAGGTTTTCCTGAATGATAAAGAATGTAAATAATTACTGTGAATATCACTTTTGTTTCATTGTACTTGTATGTATCAACAACCCTTTAGTATCCCTATAAAGTTCTAGAATAATCATGAAAGTTTGCTTTATACTGTCATAGACCAAAACTGAAATAATCATTTGTTAGGTTTCTGCAACTACTTTTGTGCAGTAAAAATATCAAATACCTTTAAACCTTTATGTGGTTTAGAATAACTAATTTTTCATAGTCGAGTCAAAATTAAACAATTATTTCTGATTCAATTACGTGATTAATACAATAAACATTCTATCTTCACTTTTGCATCTTGAGACAGTGACTATGAGTGATTACATGAGAATAAAAATTTTTTCTATTCAAACTAACCTTGTCAAAACTTTAACCTTAAAATTTGTTAATAGTCATGAAAAATGCTGAGATAAAAAGGAATTTTCTGTAAGTAGAGACATTTTTTCTATAAACTATATTTATTAACAAATCAGAAGAACAGAGTTTTGATTCTTTAGGATTATGTATTAAAAACTCTTCTAAAAAACGAATAAATCATAAAAAAATTACATTGTAAACCATAATTTTATTTGTTATAATATTGAATTTCACAAAAATATTTTGGAATCAGTATATTTTGATGTGTATAATCTTTATTAAAATGAATAAACAATTTTTTACAGACATTTGAAGAGGCAATAACGAACATGGTGTCTCAAGTGGGACCTTTGACGAGGTATCAGTTGCCACTAAAACTTTATCAAATATCAAGCAAGTGGCGTGATGAATTAAAACCTCGATGTGGATTACTTCGTAGCCGAGAATTTATTATGAAAGATATGTACGCCTTTGATGTCGATTCAGAAACTTCTCGATTATCGTACCAAATTATTAGTAATGCGTATGAAAATATATTCAAACGGATAGGCATACCTTATAGAAAATTCGAAGCTGAGAACGGAATGATGGGAGGCTCTATGTCACATGAATTCCATTACACATCAGATATTGGGGAAAATGTCATTTACTTATGTGAAGAATGTAATTATTATACCAAATTCATATGTGGCAAGAATAATATCTGTTTCAAGTGTAAGCACACCTTATGTCGCCAAAATACTGTAGAGGTAAATCTGTTATTCACAAAGTTAACGTCATTATAGCAATATAAATGAACGAAGTAGTTTTGGATTAACGAACGTTCAGAACCACACTGACAAGCGTAATAATAATTATAGTAATAAAAAAGTAATAAAATAATGTAAAACAAGACTATATTACATAAGGCGTACTATTTTTGACAAAGTTGAAGTAATTAATAAAACAAAAAAAGAAATGTTATAGATCGGATTATATGAATGAAAAATTACATTTATAGTTCAACTAAATTAAAAAATTATGTATAAGTGTTAAAAAAAATATTATATACGTAGATGTCACTAAATTAGGAGCCCTCTTCAACATAATGTTTGAGATATGAGTTACATGGCGCTGTTGTATTCGGCCCCCAGAGGATGTCTGTATACTTGTAGGCTTAAGATAATTTTTACTTAAAAAGTCTGCCTTTAGTTCTAAAGCTTTTTGTATATTATAAAATTAGTCAGAAGAAAGAAGTCATTATTATATTTATGAATAATTTAAAAATATATTTACTAAATATGCTAACTTACAAATCGCTTAAATTTATTTTTATTGCAATACGTCTTCTAACTGTATAAGGATGCTTTGACTTGTATATTTAAGCTAATCCGTCGGTTCTATTATTATTGAAGTAATTTTGCGCTGTACTATCATCAGATTTGATAAGTAGTGGGAGTTTGATGGCTTATCCATGATCGTAAGCTGTTATAATTTGTTGCTACCTAATTCACCATGAACTTTCTCAGTTTAGTTTTTGTTACTTCGAGTTGTATACTTTACAGTCACGTTTCGGGTCTCTGTGCAACTTAAACAACTCTTTTGAATACACTGGCACTCTATTTAGAGTCACCCTACTGGTTTCAAAAACGTAACCGTTGATATCCTTATTGTCACTGAGGTTAACTATTGGCTTAAACAAACACCAAGCTTAATGAAACAGTGACTGTGTATCGAGAATGTTAAGTTTTTGAATACAGATGTAGTAATAAATATAATTACGTTCAATAAAAAATTAGTAAGTAAGGTGCGAAGCAAGTAGAGAATAGTATATCCTAGTAAGAAAAAGGATTTCCTTAGGGAAGTCCGAAGGAATGTTACTGTAGATGTCCTAAAGATATTAATTACGTGTTTGTAGTATTATCGGAGCGTTACGTCGATCGTCACGACGCGTCGTCAAGGACATGATTCATCAGCACATACTAAAAACAAGTTGTAAAACAGTAACATGAAATACGTATTTTGGTTTGCTCACATTAAATGAAACTCCAAGACAAAATGTAATTTATTTAACTTTATGAGTTTTCAAAGCGTTTGATTGCAAAATTGATCTTCTATCAATAAAGGTAGCGAACGTATGGCTAGAGATGTACTTATATATTTTTTTCGGGACCTTCCACAATGGACCAAAATCACTCATTAATAGACAAAACGTGACGGATTGCAAGTTATTGATGAAAAATATTTTGAAAACAATTTTGGAAAGAACTGTAACAGTAGAAAACGAAAAGTTGGGCTCTTTTTGATTATGTCATCAAACCACATAATGCTTAGCCCTACAAACTTGCTGGCAGAAAATAATATAGAGACTTTTAACACCATTTTTTTAATGAAGTGTACTCTAATAACATAGTTTTTAAAAATATAAATAATTATTTCNTAGAACTAATAATAATAGTTCTTAATTTTTTAATTACTAAATTTATTAAGTAAAAATAAACAAAGCTAGAAAATAGGTGACCTGCTTTGAACAAAGCTTTATTTTATCACCGTAAATTTTATCTGATAAAGGGTAGGCAATCAAAGTGCAAGGGGGGTCGAGCCCCACGTAGTATTGCAGATTAAAGTTTATCTGGATGTTCCTCTGCTTTTTGTTCAAGTTGAGCTTTCACAGTTTCTGCTTCATACTTCTCTTTGTTGGGTGCTTATTTATGTGGTAACACATCTTGTTCCTTGAAAACATATTTTCCTGTCTCAGTGTCAGCAGTAACTACTTTAGCTGTATGATGTTTCTAACGCAAACAATTACAGTTCCAGTTTACTCTTGTATTACGTCGTCCCAAATAAACCTATGCTTACTTCTGAAGTATTTATTTGATACCTAGAATTATAGAAAAGTCAACCAAGTAGTAGGTAAAATCAAATAAAACAACGAAACATATAATTGCAAAATAAACGTGCAATTAAAAAAATGATACAAAATGTACTACATAAAACAACTAATTGTTTCTTATTGTTTCTGCGCATAAACAAATTCACAAATGTATTACCATGACAACATACTTCATTGTTCGAGAGTTTCAGTATTCGAGTAAAAGACTGTCAGGCAAACGTATTTTGTAAAAGTGTATTCGGGCAGACGTCCATCGGGGTACTATTCACCGGGATAAAAATTTGTTGGCAAAATTTGTTATTCGGAAAAATGTTTGTTAAAGGACTTAAATAAAAAAAAAATGGAAATCATATAATGCGCTTCTAAAACCGAAATATTGTTACGTCATCAGGTATTAATAACGCTGGACTACAACTTACATGAAAAATTTTTACAAGAAAACGTTTATGCTGGACACTCTAATTTTTTGCTCACCAAATTTTTCAGGCTCTTACGTTGACCGTGATTTAATTCAGTTAAATCATATACGGAGTGGGAGAGACACGTTAAATATGAAGTTCACTATGGATTCAGATATCGACATACGTTTGTTCAATCGATTCTAAAGCTGCAAAATTTAAATTCTTTTATTGCTTTACAAAACTTAGAACCATAAGCACAAAATAAATGTTGACACCCGTTCTTATCAGTTCTTTATATACTAAATTATATTATAAGTAGATCAAGAAAACTGATAAAAAATTTTATAAAAAAAAGAAAAAAACAGATTAGAACGGATCTTGGATGGATCTTGATTTTTAGAATAAACTAACGAAAAATGAAAATTTACAAAACTTGAACTGACACCTTACTCTTTACACATTTATAAAGGTAACTTCTTTTTAGGTCTATTTCATATTTTTATACGTAGAATGTGAAGTTTTTGGAAAAAAATTTTTTTAATCACGAATGGTGTTTAACAACTTTATAACTTTTACTCATGTGCCAGTTTAGTACTACTATTTGTAAAGTACCTTAAAAATTTTACCTATCAAAGCATTATAATGGTCGTCTATTATACGAACGACTATCAACAATTCTCAGATAATATATTAAGTGATATGTTAGTCAACATTTCAACTTGAAAATTATTTGAATTTTTTTCCAAAGTTAGAAATAAGAACCCCTTCATCAATATTTTTTGTATAATAGCTTTCAGTTGTTACAACATTAACACATTTATCTCTATTCGTACTAAGAAATAATTCAGCGCGATATCATAAAGATTACCTTATTAAAAAAATATAGAATTATATAAGTATTTTATTTTACAAACTTTTGAATGATTTTAACTTACTTAAAATCAAATACTATTAAAATATTAGTGATTCTCATATGTTAGGAGTTCAGAAATGTAAGATTCATGTAGTTCTACTAGTTTATAGTTTACTAGACAGCCCATTTGAAGCAATGTTGATCATTTTTCTCTAAAACTACACACTAGTTATTTTGTGTATCATAGAAATGTAATATAAGGTGAGAGGGATGGGCTTTCTGCTATAGGATTAAGTTTGTTGATGTTAGTAACTAGATTCAGAATGAAAAGTAAAAACTGACTTGACTCTTTTTTTTACAGAGTTATGTTTTTTTATTAATTAGTTGCAGTATATTTTAAACAAACCATTGACTTACAACTGAAAATTGGTTTGATAAATATCATTACATGTTATGCTAAGATAATTAATGCTGATTCTATTGTTTAATGATGCTTTACACTATCTTTCAGAAATACTTAAAAAATTAAAATTTTAAATCTTAGCAATCAATGCAGTTCTTACATGGTTTTAAAAAACGCATTTAACGTCCCCCTCACTCCAATACGTAAAAATATTTTATTCATTTTTAAACAAATTCAAATAATTAACAAGTTAAATAGTAGAGTTTTCAACCAGATCCACAGCTGCTTATGATTTCTCATTAATAGTCAATCTTAACCTTGACTCAAAACATTAGCTTTCCAAACAACTTGCTTTATATATCAAACACTCCTTTTTTGTGAAAAATTTACCTTCATATTTATAAGTTCTTTTACCACCGTGAAAGTTATCAGCTGCTTCTTCAAAATAGTTTGTAGAAAGTTATGACTAAATCCACTAAAGGCAGAATAAAAAAAAAATCTGATTCTTTCGCATAAATTATAGAGAAATCTTAAATTATTTAAAAAAAAAAATATTTTTTTTGTGTAGGAACAACTAGTAAGTTGTTGTTAATATTCTGTTTGCATCTAGAGTTTTTAGAGTTTTATTTAGGTCTCGAAGGGGCATAAGACATAATATTATTAGGTTGAAATTTAGTGAAATTTATAACCTTATACGTATCAAACTATATATTTCAATCTATAAAAATGTTTTTACTGCCAAATAAATGGTATTTGGAAAATTAATGAATAAATGATATAAGTACAGAATCTATAAATTTTTTTTTAATGTCTGAATAATGTTAGTATTAGAAGTTTTATTCCAATCATTTTATCTGACATAAAGTAACCAGTAAAATCATAAATGCAGTATTTCTAGTTTTTTACAGCATTCATATCTTACGTTTTCTCCTTCGTAGTACCTCTATCATCCAGAACTTGCGAGTCTAAAAAGAAATAAAAACAAAGACGAAGTCTGCCTTCACCCTGGCTTTCTTAGTGGCATATCTACATCATACCTTCAGAGTTTTATTTAAAATTGTGATGCCAGGGGTCGTAAAAAAAAAACATAATTTATAGTAGTAGGGCTCTGCCCTACTATGTGCTCCGCGCTAACACCCTGCTGATAAATTGTAATCCTTTGTATGATTATAGGCCTCAGGATAAAGGGTAGGTTTTAAAAGTTATGGTGGTATCTAAGT